AGTTGACTGGCCAAAGTACCAAATGCCCTGGAACTGTTTTGGGCATAGGACCATGTGTGCGGCTGGTCAGAACTTCTACACAGTGGCGTTTCCCCTACACTGAATTGATCTGAGTGCTATTTGGAGAAATTGGGCGCTCATATCAGGGCTATTTAACTGTATATAATTTGTGGGGGTTTCTATTTGTTTTGTATGTATTTTAATATTTTATGTTTTAATGCCGACTCACTCTGACACAGGAATTTGTGGACATTTTGTGGCAGTATTCTGGGCGTATATTACTGCATCCTTGTTTTGTATATAAGTGGGCCAGTTGGCCAAATTAAACACATTAGTTTGTATCCTTCATCAAGTCTGGGCTGAAGTTTGGGTAGCTTAGAGCTTAAATCACTGCTTCACTTGGGATTTGGAAGAACTACAGCGGATATACTTAGTCGGAGTATAGGGGATTGGTTACAAGCACCTTATTACACTGTTGGTGGACCCGCCAAAAACTTAAGACACTACGGACAGAGGTTACATCTCTTGAAGCCACTTCTTTTCTTTATTCTTCTGTCCTATGAACCTGGAACTTAAAAAGTTTTTTTTTTTTGGTTGAAAGACACAGTACAAGCACCTATATCAATTCTGCATATTGAATGGATTTTGGGAGTATAGATGCTGCACCTGCAGCCTTGCAAATGAAAAGAGTGCCATTTCTGCAAAACGGCACTGTTTACATTTTTTAGTTTCCACACTTGCGTGGCAGCACCAAATCTGGTGCTTTAGGATAAAATAGTTTTGATTTTTAAATCCATTTGACATGCAGTATCAATATGCAAAATATCCTGACACAGGGCTCTGCGTGCTTCCAATGAATAATTGGATATAAAACCTTCTAAGATGAAAGCATTAGATTGGCAGATCGCTGCAATACTTCTAATAGACAAGCATCTTATTGGAGAAAAGTTCTGACATGCACACAGTCATCCCTTTGACATATTAATTGACCTACCCCTCCACACTATAAAAACACAGACACCAATTTAATTGGATAAAAAAATTATCAAAGTTTTAATAAGTTTTTCATATAAAAGTAAACAAGAAAGGTCATTGTCAAACATTAACTTAACATTGGCATATAAAGACCCACTAAACCCACTTTATACAATTATACACATAGCCAATTAACCAACTATAATTAATACCAATAAAACAATATAACATAATATGAATAACATAAACACATACCACAGCCACCAAGAGCATCTTTTTCCAACTGTTTCAAAACTGTAGTTCTATACCAAGATACCCCTACACCACCGATGTACTCGAACCCACGAATACCAACTCCAAACACATAACTGTATTTACTAAACTTAAACTAGCCCACATACCTAGCAGGCCTACCGCTCAATTTTTCTACCCAGGCCCTGCCACAGCTCAGTGCTTGACCTACTTTAGCTTCCTGAGCGCCCTGTAAAAACAAAGCCTTTCTTAAACCTTCCTGAAAACACAAACTTATAAAATCAATGCCGATGATGGAGAGATGCACCCCATCCTGCCGGAAGAACCCCAAAGCATGGCTTTAAGGTCCTATCCCCCCCCAACGTCTCATAAAAATTGCCACATTTTTTTAATTTTACTCCCACACCTAGCTACCGTATAGGATCCGTATCATATCGCCAATGGAAATGAGTTACCATCTCCGACCAAACAATAATGACCCCTGGAGCAAGCCACCATAACCTATCCACATTTCTGTTCATACACATAATCAATTCCTTCTGGGTCACGAGCCCCAGGTTGTTTCCCTCTGCATGGATTAACAAAATACCCGGAACCTGGCTTAATTCTATTCTCCTACAAATCTTTACACTAGCATCCCTCCAGCCAAAACCCCAAGCCACATCAATCGAACCAAATTTAGTGGAAAATCCAGCTGATGCCAAACTGCGGCTCTCTTCTGCACCCAGTACACGTATGAGTGGCAAACCAACCAAGCCACCAATCCTACGAAAGGAAAGAGAAACATAGAACGCAATGACATACAATAATCCTCACCACCAACCCAAACCACAGCAGACGATCTCACCAATTCTTTTGACCAAATTATTCCCCAAAACTAAACGTGCCATCTCGTTGCCTCATAGCGTGAAAAACAAACACCCATCAGCATGGAAATCTAACCCTGAAGGTCTTAAAGGACACAAATCTTCTAGTGTCTAAAGATATCCTACCCTTACAAAATCCCTTAAAAGCATGCATTGAACCAACTTAAAAATAAACCATTGAATCAACTTACAAAGAAAGGCTAATGCCGCCATAATGTGATCAATAACAAATGAAGAAGCCCCAGAGGCAAACAACTGGCAAAGACACCATAACAGAGCGTACAATACACTCTAAACCATAATGCCAGCCGCACAGGTGTACGGCGCCAAAGACTCTTACAACAACAGGCTAGTGTGAATTAATTAATTGTATTATTTATATAGCGCCATCAGATTCCGTAGCACTGTACAATGGGTGAACTAACAGACACGGAATTGTAACCAGACAACTGGACGTACAGGAACAGAGAGGTGGAGGGCCCTGCTCAATGAGCATACATTCTAGAGGGAGTGGGGTATAGTGACACAAAGGGTAAAAATAGGGGTAAGAAGTAGGTTGTTAGAAAAGTATTCAATGAGGGCTTAGTAGGTAATTTTTGACAGTTGCAGGAGAGGAGTCATGGGGGCTGGGGAATAAAAACCTGCTAAAAATTTAATCGATATGCTTTCTTGAAGAAGTGAGTTTTTAATGATTTTTCAAATGAGTGGAGACTGGGTGAAAGTCTTACGGAGAAGGAAAGGGAGTTCCACAGAAGAGGTGCAGCCCTGGAGAAATCTTGGAGGCGAGCATTAGCGGTGGGAGTACGGACAAAAGATATACGTAGGTCTTTGGCAGAGTATAGGGGCCTCTATTGAACATACATGTGTATTAGGGAGGATAGGTAGGTTGGAGCAGCATTATGTAGGGACTTGTAAGCAAGCACCAGAATTTTAAATTGAGCCCTATATCTAAGTGGAAGCTAATGCAGGGACTGACAGAGTGGGGAGGCGTGGGAGGTGCAAGCGGACAGGAAAATGAGCCTCCTCGCTGCATTCATTATAGATTACAGCGGTGCAATCTTAGAACATGTAAGATCACTGAGAAGGGTATTGCAATAGTCAAGGCGAGAGAGAACAAGAGCATGGACCAGCACCTTAGCCGCATCAGATGTTAAATAGGGGCGGATGCGTGCTATGTTTTCAAGATGGAAGCGACATGATTTGGTGATTGATTGGATATGAGGAGTGAAGGAGAAGTTGGAGTCAAAAAGAACACCCAGGCAGCGAGTCTGTGAGGTAGAGGTGATGGTAGCGCCATTGACTTGGAGGGAGACAGACACGGGAGTAGTAACACTTAAGGGAGGAAAGACCAGAAGTTCAGTTTTGGACAGGTTGAGTTTTAAAAAGTGAGCAGCCATCCAGTTGGAAATCGAAGAGATGCAGTCAGAGACACAAATCAAGATGGGCGGAGAGAGATCATGAGAGGACAGCTAGATTTGCATGTCATCTGCATAAAAATGATAATGGAAGCCAAAGGAGCTGATGAGTTTACCAAGGGAGGTAGTATAGAGGGAGAACAGTAAGGGACCAAGGACAGAACCTTGGGGAATGCCGACAGAAAGTGGTTGGGGGGAAGAGGCAGAGTCAGAGAAAGAAACACCGAAAGTGCGCTGGGAGAGGTAGGAGGAGCACCAGGAGAGAGCAGTATCCCGTAGACCAAAATTACAGAGAAGGCATATCTACGCCTCCCACTGTGATTGTGGTACTGTTGCTTTAACGCCGAGTCACGTGAGTATACTTAAAAAGTCTGCAAAGGACATTGGGGACGTATTCTCCCACATGGGATTAGCCCATGCTAGAGCTTTCCCGGACAAGTGGTTGATTAGAAAAGCAATTTTGGTTCTATCAGTGGGGTAGGAACGAGGATTCATCACCAAATGAATATCAATTTGGTTGAGGAAACCACGACACAATGGTGGATCACCGCTATAGCGCTGTGGTGGCGTCATGTGAACCACGTGAGCAGGAGCGGGTACTGGATCGGGAATGGGTTCTGGCACAGCAGCAACAGCTTCTTGAACGGCAGGTTGCAAGGTGGCAGTACGAGCCAGTATGGTTTGTAAAGCCTGGGCAAACTGATCCATACGATGGTCTAAACCATCCATTCTAGCCTCCTGATTTACTAACAGCTGTCGAATGTCAGCAGGTTCCATGGTGGCCCTGTTGTAATGTCACGATTCTGGAACCTAACACGCTAACAGGTCACAGAGAGGAAGGATGCTATACCGGTCCTTAGAGTGGCTGGGCTAAGCACACTAAGAATAGTCAGTAGACAAGCCAAGTAAAGGGAGCCGGAAAACGGGAGAACGAGAAACAAGCTGAGGTCAAAGGAGTGTAGAATACAGGAAAATCGGAATAACGAGCCAAATAATCAGTAACCAGAGAGAAACACGAGCAAATTGCAATACAGGTATCACAAGACCACAACAGGGCACTGAGAGACAGGAAAGGTAAGTATAAATATCCTTTGCTTAATTCTGATTGGATAACTTCCAATCAGAATTAACAATCACACGTGGGAGATATCTACGCCTCCCACTGTGATTGTGGTACTGTTGCTTTAACGACGGGTCACGTGAGTGACCCCAGCTTTGCATAAATGTGCGTCCTCCCAGCGTGCAGTGTTATACATGCTGCCGCTGGGAGGCGTGGAGGAGGATGCGAGCGGCGCGCAGCGGAGGGGAGACGCCGCTCGCCGACAGGTAGGAGGAGGGGAGACCGCGGACCCCTGACACTCTTAGCTTTGCTGGTCTATGGGGCTACATCAGTCTTGATCACAGGCGTAACTAGAAACCAGGGGGCCCTGGTGCGAAAATTTTCCTGTGACCCCCCTATACATGTGTCTCACTGACGCCCAACTGAATGAGTGTGGCATGGTTGGGGGAAATGAGTATGACAGAATTGGAGGGGTTAATGTGATAGGACGAGTGTGGCAGGGTGAAAGGGGGCAAGTGTGACAGAGTGATGGAGAATGAGAGTAATAGAGTTGGGGGGGTGAGTGTGACAGTGCTAGAGAAGGTGAGTGTGATAGTGTGAGTATGGCAGAGCGATGGGAGGAGAGTATGGCATGGGTTAACGACAGGATTGGTGGAGTTATTGTGAGTGTGGCAGCGTGTGTGGGGGTGACAGATACACAGACACATAGGTGCATACACTGACTCACATGAAGATAAACAGACAAACAAACACTGACATACATACTATATAACGTATACAAATACATACACGGACACATATATTGATACACAGACACACGTATAGATACAGACACACAGATACACACACTGACAAACATGCAAATATCCAGGGGGCAGGGCCGGACCACCATGCTAACTGGTCGCATGCAGGAGAGGCTCCAGAGACATCTGGCCTCTTAAGCTGCAAAATGCAGATTAAGCACACAAAACAGAGCCACAAGATACCCACGGCGACAAACACTGACAGCAGCATGAAACAGCTAACTGATCTAAAGAACCGCGAACAAGCGGGACAAACGCAGCACCAGCCCAGACATCAAGCCTAACAAGCGCAGATCTATCACACACACAGAGCACCTGAGACATCTGTGGAGACCGGAGGATCCCCACTTCTCTTGTGACAGGCTGAATTACTGAATTACTGGATCGGGGTCTAAGGAGACCAATTACGACACACAAGCACAGAGACACTCGCAGCCCCCCAAAAATGGACTTTACAAGAGACAGCAGCAGCATGTAAATAGCTTGCAGCTTAGAACTTGCTATGCTCTGTAACACACTGCAGCCAATTTGTCCTTAGCTGCCTTTCCTCCCCACATACCCTCATACAGAGTCTGATTATCGCACAGTTTATTGCTTACTTGTCTGCTTACTCGACCATGCTATTTTGTACCCTCCATGTCTGATGCCTTTTGTGTCTAATTCATACTCAATAGTACTGTTAACGCTTTAATGACATAACTAAACATGTTGATGTTTTAATGACACAAATGACTAAGCTTGTTTACACTGATAACTTACTATTGCCTTTACTTAAACCATATTAATTTCTAGCTCTGTGTTAATAGTGAACATGTTACGCTAACCCCTCTCAGCTTGTCTAGCCTGTGTTTAACAGTTTACAGTACATCATCCTACTCTATATTTTACAAGTATAGATAACCATCCTGACAATATATAGTATTGGAGAAAGTGCAGAAAATCTACAACGCTAAACTAGAAACATATACTACTTAAATTCCTATCGTTATGTTTAAACTTGATTTCCTTAAATAACAAAAATGTGCATGTAATTCTAAATACCTCATTGTTTAAAAGAATGAAAATCAGCATGAGGAATGCCGTTGGGGTACCTCACACGTGTTGTTATATTTCTTTGCACAGCAAAAATATTTTAAAAAAAACAAAAAAAAAAAACATGCAAATATCCAGACAAAATACACATAGATACACACACTGAAACACATGCAGATACACAGGCACACAGAATGAAACACATTCAGATACACAGAATGACACTCCTACAGATACAAACACTGACACATACAGACAGACATACAGGCACACAGAGACAGATATACATGCATACAGACAGATACACATACATACAGACACACATACAAACAGATACACATACAGACAGACAGATACACACACATACAGACACATACAAACACACATGCAAAATGTCATTTTTTTTTTAGTCACCCTCCTGTTTCCTACCTTTTAGGTGCAGGAGGATGACTCCCCTGGGGTACAGTGGCTCAGGCTGATGGGAGTCAGAGCTCCTACTCTAACCCCTTCCCGTCCTTCTCTCATGTGGCGCTCTCTTCCTCCTCCCGCGCAGCTCAAAGATTGCTAGGAAGTGACTGGGGCTGTCACTTCATCCCAGCTCGACATCATCACAAGGGGCCCGTACAGCACTGACAAGGCCCCTGGAAATACACTGCCATCGGGTGGCCCTAAGAGCATGGGCCACCCGATGGGCCCCTCAACATCCGGCTCCGGCAATAGTACTGAGCGGGCCGTGGCTGCACCACATTGCTGGCGGACAGGGCCCCTCTCGAGTGATGGGCCCAGTCACAACTGCAACCCCTGCGACCGTGGTAGGTGTGCCACTGGTCTTCATAACTTCACTGGGGGAGAATCAAGCTGCAGTCAGGATATTATTCTGGCTTGAAAAAACTGTAAGTTTTATGGGATTTTTTTTTACCCACTATTCTAAAAAGAATAAGAATAATAAAAAGAATAAGGAACACATATAATTAAAAAAAAAATTTCTTAATTTGAGAGTCCCTTTAAGTAAACCAGATATCTCATGTTTCATATGAATAAGGTAGGCTAAGTCTGCGTGGACCTTACCTGTCTGAGTTGTTGTTCCTTACCTGGTTTCCACTGTCATCAGGATCCAGCCCACCTAGCGTATCCTGCCACATGAAGATTACATGTCTCTTATAAAGTGAAGGTTTGAGAAAATAATTTAAAATGCTCTGAGATAATGAGATCATTATATTATGTGGACCATTAAATAACTTGAAGCATACTTGCCAACAGTTAAAAAAAAATTCCAGGGACACTTTGGGAGACATTTATTAAAGCATTGCCAACACTTTTACATATCACATTAGTGAATATTAAGCACAATGTATTAAATCTGGCAAGTTTTTTTAACACCACATTTTCAGCCATACAACAGGTTTATCAATTAGTACGTAAATAACCCCCCTCTCCTGTACATACCTCCCCACAACCACGTTCTTTCCGATTATGTGATTTACAGAAAGATGACAAAGGATCTTAAAGGCATACAGGTTGTCCTCATTTTGCGACCTACCTGCTTTACGACGGCTCGCACTTACGACCAGCTCTCTCACGGGTTGGTAAGTGCGAGCTGTCATGGGAATTAGAGGTATATTCCCTGCTCTGCTGCGTTCTTCTATGTTCGGGGATATTTCCCCGAACATAGACGAAAGCAACAGAGCAGGGAGTCCCTGTAATCTATGTTCGGGGAAATTTCTCCGAGCATAGATTAGAGGGACTCCCTGCTCTTGTGCGTTCGTCTATGTTTGGGGAAATATCCCCGAACATAGAAGAACGCAGCAGAGCAGGGAATCCCTCTAATTCTGATACATATAACATATAACTGCATAATAAGACAGTTCTGGTAGCCTTTTATTATGAAGGATGTCAAGGAATACATGGCAGCCTGTGAAATCTGCACACAATCTAAATCCACCACGGTCAAGCTACCAGGTCTTCTTATTACCCTTTCAATACCCTGCGCTGAAATGGGTATATCTTTGTCGTTTTCCTCATCGTATCATCCACAGTCTAACGAGGCTTCTGAAAGGGCGAATCAGTCACTAGAACTCTACCTGCGTTGCTTCATGAAAGAGCATCAAGATAACTTGAGAAAGGTCAACCACAATCAGCCAAGATATAGACCACACCCTCCACCCCCCTTGAATACCCAAAGGGACATCTGTCCCAAACCCCCTCCACGTTTTAATACCCCTCATCTAAGGTTTTGTTGATACGGGAACACTGGAGATACACAATACAACTATAAAGTAAATACACATACTACAGTGGAGTCCGCAGTGGGTTTGGGCAAGATAGAGGGAAGAGATAAGCCTATACACAGGTGATGGGCTGCCCTGGGACAATACCCTCACATGGGAATGGGGCAAACATAGATGGGAGTCTCTCGAACTGCAGAACCCGGTATCAACACATAAGTCTGAACGAGAATATGTTGTTTCTTTGTACATTGAAACCTGTTTTGTATTACAAGACAATTTTATGATGTGTATGTACACTATAAGCCTTTTCCTTCTGACTGACCCATTTTCCTTTCTGTACCCATATGTTCCTGCTACAAACCAATAAAACTTGAATTAAAAAAAAAAAAATACATTTTTTTTTTACTACTCTTCACATGCTCTTGCTTAAGTATGTAAACTTAAAGGACCACTCTAGGTACCCAGACCACTTCAGCTTAATGAAGTGGTCTGGGTGTCTGGTCCAGCTAGGGTTAACCCATTTTTTAATAAACATAGCAGTTTCAGAGAAACTGCTATGTTTATGAATGGGTTAAGCCTTCCCCCTATTCCCTCTAGTGGCTGTCTCATTGACAGCCACTAGAGGCGCTTGCGTGCTTTTCACACCACTGCAGACAAGCCCCTTTTTTGAGCAAGTTCGCCCCTTTGGGCGGTTTTGGTTACATGATTTGTGTCAGTGACCCACCCTTTTACCCCACCCACCGAAATCCTGCTTCACTGGACACTGCTGTTAGGGGGCGTGGATTTACTTGAAAGATGCACGCGAGAGATTAGCATAGAGTATGTGTTTTCTGATAGCTATTAGCTATATCCTGTGAGTTTCCCTCCAGCACCACCTCCACCAGATACATGAGTGTTTGGGAGGTATTACTGTTTTAGGTCGATTAGATTCTGTAATTAGGCCCTTCATAATTGTCAACAACAGGCCCAATGGGCTCTTAATCCGGCCCTTGGTGCCACTCAGCAAAGTCCAGCCTATATAACCTGAAATGTCCTAAATTACAAAACTCTCTAGTCTCTTCTAGTTGGCTGGTCAAGCACATGACGATGTTAGGCTGGATAAGAAAATCCAGAGTTTTGCTAATGTGTCTACAGCAGGGCCGGACTAGCCCACCGGGATACAGGGAAATTTCCCGGTGGGCCGTCGGCACCTGGGGCCGGGCAGGCAGTTGGCTGACCTGCGGCCGCAGAGGGAGCTCCCTTGGCGGCTGCAGGGGGAGCTGGCTGTTCTGTCTCTGCTCCCCCTACCCAGCGTGCTAGAAAGAGACCGGGGCCGGAATATGACGTCATATTTCGGCCCCGGTCTCATTAAGCAGTGCGCTGGGGAGGGGGAGCAGAGACAGAACAGCCAGCTCCCCCTGCGGCCGCCAGAACAGCCAGCTCCCCCATGCGGCCGCCATCAGAGCTCCCCACAGGTAGACATTGTGTGTGTCAGTGTGAGTGTATGTGTGTGTCTGTGTCATTTGTGTGTGTGTCTGTCTGTGTCATGGTGTGTGTGTCTGTGTCATGGTGTCTCTGTCTGTGTCATTGTGTGTGTCTGTGTGTCTATGTCTGTCATGGTGTGTGCGTCTGTGTCATGGTGTGTGTCTGTATGTCTCTGTCTGGCATGGTGTGTGCGTCTGTGTCATGGTGTGTGTGTGTCTGTCTGTGTCATGCAATGTCTGTCTGTGTCATTGTGTGTGTCTGTGTCATGGTGTGTGTGTCTCTGACTGTCATGGTGTGTGCATCTGTCTGTGTCACGGTCTGTCTGTGTCATGGTGTGTGTGTGTGTTTGTCATGGTGTGTGTGTTTGTCATGGTGTGTGTTTCTGTCTGTGTCATGTAATGTGTGTCTGTCTGTGTCACGGTGTGTGTGTCTGTGTCACGATCTCTCTGTGTCGTGGTGTGTGTCTGTGTGTCATGGTGTGTCTGTCTGTGTCGTGTGTGTGTCTGTGTCACGGTCTGTGTTATGGTGTGTGTCTCAAGGTTTGTGTGTCTTTTTTAAGGTGTGTGTCTGTCATGGTATGTGTGTGTCTCTGTCATGGTGTGTGTATCTGTGTCATGGTGTGTCTGTCTGTCATGGTGTGTCTGTGTTTATGTCTGTGTCACGGTGTGTGTCTGTCATGGTATGTGTGTGTGTATGTGTGTTTTTACTCACCTTTTTTTTTTCACGTCATGCTGGTCTTCCCTCGACTGGCCCTGCCTCTACGGCTGAGATCATCAAGCTTGATGATCTCAGCCAATCCGCACTGACACAGGAAGCACCTCTAGTGACCGTCTGAGTGTCTGTCACTAGGAAGCAATGTAAACACTGCCTTTTCTCTAAAAAGTCAGTGTTTACATTGAAAAGCCTGCAGGGACAGGCTATAGACACCAGAGCCACTACATTAAGCTGTGTGTGTGTGCGCGCCTGCTAGTGAGTGGGCTTGCTTGTGTGTGTGTGTGTGTGTGTGTGTGTGCCTGCTACTGAGTGAGCTTGTGTTTTTTTTTAATGACCTTATGTATATCAGTGAGATTGTTTGTCTATGAGGCTGTGTATTAATCAGCTTGTGTCAGTGAGATTGTCTGTGTCTGCATGTGAGTATGCTTGTATGCTTACTGTATAATTAAAAATTTTACTCTGAAAGGACCAATATTTTATATTGGAAAAAGATATATATATCTAAAATATACAGAAATCCCCTGCACTCACGCTTAGAATACTTCACTGCCGGGCGCAACTACCAGGGCTCCACATAACACAAATCCAAGAATAGCAATGGCTGCTCTCCGGTCTTAAAAAAAGTTTATTGAATCAAGTAAAAATAACGACTAACGTTTCAGTCCCCGCTCGGGACTTTCCTCAGGGTCAGAAAAGACACATCAACGTTGATCTGTCTTTTCTGACCCTGAGGAAAGTCCCGAGTGGGGATTGAAACGTTGGTCGTGATTTTTACTTGATTCAATAAATTTTTTTAAGACCGGAGAGCAGCCATTGCTATTTTTGGATTTATATATATATATATATATATATATCAATCATCTAGGGTGGCAAGACATAGCCTTGCATATTACATGCGACAATATATGGCGCAATGATTTTTTTTCCAGGGCTGCTTTGGAATCCCCAGTCCGGCCCTGGTCTACAGTATAGACACATGAAAAGGATTAAATAATTTGGAGCCTAATACAGGGGTGGAATACTGCTGCAGGAAAGAGGGTTTGGGGTTCTCAGAGCCCACTTCTGTCCAGTGATGGCATAGACAGTCATACAGTAAAATTACCAGCAGGGGTTAAATCCCCAGAATGACAGATGAGCTATGAGCAGCACTCAAAGTGAGCCCTTTAAATACCATGGCTGAGCAATCTATGATTTCTATCACTGCC